AAACTCAAGTCAACAGTCCATGTTTGTCCCGACTCGTCGAGTGCACTCTTGCGACTCGTCGAGTCCCCTCGTTTCCTCAGAAGCCTCAAGAAAGTCCAGCTCAACTCGTCGAGTTGACCCCCAACTCGCCGAGTTATCGCACAATCAACCTATCGGGACAAACCCTCACCGACTCGTCGAGTCAGGCCATGGACTCGGCGAGTCCCTTCGATCAGATTCCTCATTCAGACGATTTAAGGCAGATCCATCATTCCAAACACTAGATCTACCATCCTAAGGGTCGATTGTCACGTAAAGCTGCGAGCTTTACGTTTAAACATGGCATATAAGACTCATAATGCTAATACATGCTCCCACAAGGGCTAGATGCACAAAAGCTAGACTCTAGCTTAATAAAGCTTGGATCTTTGGTCTCTCAAGTCCTTCTACAGTCCAGATCTGAGGTTTCAACCTCATGATATGCTCAAATAACTCATTGCCAAGAATGGATGGGAGAAAACCCTCAAAATCTCCCTAAACTAAGATCTCACAAAGGAAAGGTCAAGATAGGAGCTTTTTACCTTTGCACTGAAGCTCACCACTGAAGAACTCTGGATCTACAACCCTTCCTTGATCAAACACACCAAGCTCTCCAAATCTCTTTCAAAGGATGCACAAAACCACTCAAATTAGCTCCTCACTCACTCTCTAGCTCTAATGGCGTTTAGGGTTTGCTCTCAGGGGTGTAGGGTAACTGGTGAGGCGTAAATGGGGCATAAGTTCCCTTATATAGGCCCCAACCCCGGGAAATTAGGGTTTCTCTGCCCAGAAACTACTCGGCGAGTCGGTTCTCTGACTCGTCGAGTCCACTCATTAATTCCATGCGAGCAGCTCGACTCGACTCGACGAGTTGGACCCTCAACTCCTCGAGTCTCTCCATAAATCTCAAGATTAAAATACACAATAATGTACCTGAAAATCCGGATGTTACAGTGACGGTCAGCTGTTGGTTGACTTTGACCATTGACTTTTACCCAAGTTTGACTTAGGGGCGTTTTGGGTATTTTGATTGGTAGTTTGAGCTTAAGTGATTGTGATTGCGTAGATGGCTGATAGAGTCAGCATTTGGAGCAGTGATATATGTAGCTATTTCTTAAGACTATGAGGTGAGTTTTTCTCACTGTACTTGTGGGTCGAAGGCACCAATACCGACCCACTAAGTTATGTATCCTGGTATATAGGATGATGCTATGCTAGTTATATGATAGACTAGTAAATCTGTATGATTACATGTATTTGTTGGATATGTGTTTATGTTTATCTGTTGTATATGTCGATATATTGTGGATGGGTTGAGGCGGTCCTACTTTGTGCTGAAGGCCAAGATTCCTAGGGCGGTCCGGATAGGCGGTAGGCCTTGCAAGGTAGTCTAGTCAGACCGGAGGCCCATAGAGCGGTCCAGATAGGCTGTAGGCCCTGCGAGGCGGTCCAGTCAGTCTGAAGGCTCATATTTGCATGTTGTTGTTTGTTATGTTGTGTGGTGGTACTTTGGGGGAACTCACTAAGCTTTGGTTTACGATTTCAGTTTATTGTTTCAGGTACTTCAGAGGATCGTGGGCAAGCGAAAGCGTGATCATGCATATCTTCCTGTTTTTATGATATTGGATTTTGGGATACTCTGATTATGATTATACTTTTGAAACAATGGTCTTTGTAAACACTTTATGGTTAATGGGTTGTTTTTGAAAAATTTGAATTTCTATGATTTTTGGGATGTTATACCTATGTTTGGGATCTACTTGATATAATTGTTCTAATTAGGTTCATGGATTATTGGAGCTTAAAATTTTAGAAATGTTTTTTTTTCTTATGTTGTTTATTTGATTTGTAAATTTTTATATATCATTCCGCAACACTATTTTTCGTAAAGTTTTGTATTTAAAGAAATTTTGTTAGACTTATTGAAATATCGATTTTACATATGAACACTTATTACAAGCTCGTATTACTAAATCATTAACATATTCTAGGAGTCATAAGTATTGTTTGTCTTTATTTATTATTGATCAAATTGATCAAGTAACTAATAAAAACATTATCGAAAATGATTGTGTATGTGTTATAGAATTTTCCTACGTATTCCATAAACATCAACCATTTTGTTTAAATATTTAGGAATAAATATATACTTCTTGGATGATAGTAACTCTTATGAAAAATTAGTCTCTTACACTTCCACATGAATTACCATTAAACAAAGAAGTAGATATACACTTTCCTGAATCGTTAGAATCACATATCTATGAAAATTTTGACCTTAGGGATCTTGAATATCTGCTTAACAAATAATTCCAACATTACTACTTAATCATCATAACTCATGGTTTGAATGTTCAGTTTGGTCTAAAGCTTTTCCTCACTTTCATTATTTGTGGATTTTCCATAATCTTCCATTAACATGTCACTTTTCTTGATTGATTGGAAACTCGGGTGACCATAATCACATTCAACTTATAGTTTGTTATAGTTATTACTTAGATGCTGTTTAAACATTGGTTCCAAGATTTACAAACTCTTGAACCCTCTTAACTGTTAGCGTATAGGTAAACAAACTCACTACTCTTTAGAACCACATATTTGTGGTCATGAGGGCCTCCCCCACTGAGTTTTTTTCTTTATTGGATGAAACTCAAACACAAACAATATGTAATTCGTCATTACACATCTTATATTGCCAAATGCAATTTTATTACCGAAAATGTTCATGGTATGTCGAAAACTTTCCAACTTTCATAGAAAAACATTCATGATTTCATCAAAATACTGATATAAAACCTAGAATAAATACCTTTTTGTCTCCATTTTTAGAGCGTTTAAATAAAGTAAGATACTAAAAGTATTGAAACAACACAATAAGTAGATCCGTAAACAATAGTTAAGTTCGCAATTCATTATATATCTCGAACTCGATCAGGCTGGACTTCTTTGAAAGAAGATCCATAATGATTGGGCTTTGACAAGACCCAATTTTCTTTAACGGGTCAGGATCGGTGTGGACGGATTATTTTTTGTGATATGGGCCAAACACCCGAATAGCAAACCAGATACAATTAGGCCGGACAGAGCGGGCGCGGGGAACGGAAGCGGGAAGCTTCCCGCCCGGCGGAACACCGCACCGTCGGCGCGGGAAAGGGTTGTGCGGGAAACGGAGAGGGGAGCCTCTCCCGCTCTCTCTCTCTTGCTGCGATTGGCCGGCCCTTTTTTTTTGTTGAAAAACAACCGTTGAATAACGGTAAAAAATGTAATTTTTTTTTTGGCTGTAACGGCTAGTTTTGTTTTTATTTGTTTTTTTTTAATCCTTTTACCACTACTATAAATACATACATATAACTTAAAAACATCACACTATCCTCTATTCTCTCTACTTTATATCAACAAAAAAAAATGAATCCCGACAAGCAAATCCCAACTTCCGATCGAAGGAAAAAAAGCCATGGTTCGAGTATAAACATCCCTCCTCGCAACATTTTTGCTATCGATTCATCCCCGCAAGGAGTTTACCGCCCCCAACTCGATGCTCCCATTCAATCCCCACTACAATTCCAATACCAAAATGTTGGTCAATATTACCCGATGCAAGTTCCAAATGTTCCGTCGCAAATGTTTTCAAACTTTGTTGTGTTTCCGGATCAACAATTGCCAAATCAACCTCAACCCCAAACTCAAACTGAAACTCAAACCCAAACCCAACACCACCACCAACTTGTCGATGAATCGGATGGCGCTGAAGAAGAAGACATGGTTCCTGAAACTCAACCAACACCACCACCATAAAGACGTAAAGGGAAAAAAACAAGTGCGCGAGGGTGTCGCACAACCGGGAAGACAAAAGCCGACAGCATGGGTTCCACACGAAGAGCTAGTTTTGGTCAAAGCTTGGGTTGATATTTCTGAAGATTCGATTCAGGGAAACGCACAACCGGGAGAACATTTTTGGTTTCGCATTTTAGAATGATTTCGAGAGGAGCTAGGAAAATGTGACGACTACCGTACGAAACATCAACTTAATTCGAAGTTTCGAGAAATAGCAAAGGGGGTTTCAAAAATTAACGGGTTGTACAACAACCTAAAAACCCAACGAAAAAGCGGCCAAGGCGACGAAGAAATACTTCAAGAAGCGTTGCAGTTTTACCTTGAGGAAGTCGGAAAACCATTCAAGTGGCACGATTGTTGGAAATTATTGGTCCGAAGTCCTAGGTGGAAAAAATACGAGCGGAATTTTATTTTTGGAGTCCAACAATCAAAGCGAACGAAAACGGGCTCTAGTGGTTACACAACCTCCTCCGATGCTCGGGTCGGTCTAGATTTAAATCAGGACGACGAACTCGAGCTAGAAGAAATTGAACGTCCAATGGGTAGGGACAAAGCGAAGAGAAAGGGAAAAGGGACTTCTTCGAGTGCATCTGATTTCAGCGTGGACATTGACGAAATGCGGAAGATAACATCGTCGTTTGATCGATATAATCTAAATTTCTCTGAACGTTTGGCTTTCGACAAAGAAAAAGAAGAAACAAGGAAAAAGGAGCGGGCGGAGAGACAAGAAATGGAAGACATGAAGTTTTTGATGGAAAACGTCGATCATCTCTCGGGACCGGCTCTCGAGCTCGTGATGAAGAAGAGGGAAAAAATTCTGAAAAATATTTTCCGTAGGTCGTTGTTGGTTTGTTTGATTTTTAGTTTGTGTGTGTTTTTTTTTTAAATTTTCTACTTTTTTATATTATAGGTTTAATGTAAGTTTTATTTTAATTAATGAAATGGTTTTTATTTTTAATTAAATTTTATGTTTAGTATTAATTTAAAAATTATAATTCATAACAAAAAAATTAATTTTATTTAATAATAAAAAAAAAAGAGTGAGGGAAGGGCTTCCCACCCATTCCTTGGCTTTTAGGCGAGGGAAAAGAGAGCGAGGGAAAGAGGGATATGGTCAAGAAAGCAAACTTCAAAAAGCAAACTTTGACATTTCCCGGTTATTATTATTTGAAGCTTTCCGCCGATCGTCAAGAAACGGCAGCAAAATGGAGATCAAGAGTCCGCAGCCGTGCCCCAAAACAGTCACCGTCCGGAGAAACCCTCCCCGGCGAGCCAGACCCACTCCTGCCACCGTTGTCCCCGTCTCAGCGCCTACATCATCTAAAACCTCTTCAGCTATACGTTCTTTTCCGATTCAAGACATCCTTTCCATCGACATTCCTGAAAAACAGGAGATTCCAGAGCCTGCGTCTCCTAAAGAGTCACCATCTTCTGAGAAACTTAAAGTATTTCTTCGAATAAAACCGATTGTAACGCAACCGAAGGTTGGAGTATCAGTGAAGAATGCAGCTCATAAGAATGTTTGGCCTCAAAACCCTAACAAGAAAAAAGATGCTACGAAAACGGCTAAAGTTGTGGGGAAGAAGACGAATGAGATATGTTTGAAAATGAACGATTCGCATTCTGTCACGCTTTGTCCTCCACAAAGCTTGGCAGATGCTCGACGGACAAAGTCTGAAGTCTATGAAGGGTTTTCACATGTCTTCTGTGCTGAATCCTCTCAGGTTTTCCTCCATTTCTTAGACCAATAAATGACGTGAAATTGTAGAGGATTGATTACTGATTAGGGTTAATTGTTTGATTTTGGCAGAGTGAAGTCTACGAGAAAATGGTGAATCCACTGGTGGAGGACTTTTTGAAGGGGAAAAGCGGCATGATAGCAGCAATGGGACCAAGTGGATCTGGTAAAACCCACACTGTCTTCGGAACTACCAGAGAGCCTGGTATGGTTCCTCTTGCCCTTCGACAGATCTTTTCAGAGAAGGAGAGCAATGAATCTAAATGTTCAAGGTCATTATGTTCAATTCTTATTGATAATTTTGGGGGTTACATATGCTTTCTCTTCATCTTCCTGTCATAATTTCAAAAACTTATCATGTTACATATATACATTGCTGCAGGACTTTCTATCTGTCAATGTTTGAAATCTACTCAGAGCGAGGAAAAGGGGAAAAGATAATGGATTTATCACAAGAAGGAGGTGATTTATTCATGCAACAATCGAATATCAAAGGCCTGAAAGAGGTTCTGTTACTTTCCATCTTCCATATATCACCTTATCATTTCCTGCATTTTTCTTCAAGTTATCTTGAATAAATTAGGGATTTTGACTTTGTCCCATATACACAGACAATCATCCATGATGTTCAGCAGGCTGAATCTCTAATTGCAATTGGAATGTCAAAGCGTTCTACTGCTATGACAAATTCCAATATCCAATCAAGGTATATGCACTAAAAGGTCACTTGTTTTAATCTTTTTGGTTTCTTGTATAAAATTTGTTTTTAACACATATTTTTTTATACTTCCAGTCGTTCACAATGCATTATAAACATTCGTAGTGACCATGAGAACATTGATTTTCACTCATATTTTCATACTGGTGTTCAACCCTCCACTGCCATATTGACCATTGTTGACCTTGCTGGAGCTGAAAGAGAAAAAAGGACTGGAAATCAGGTGAATAACTATTCTTTATCAGTTATTATTGAATTTATTGTTATTGTTATATCAATTTTTACTAGAATTTGATACTTAATGTTTTTTACAGGGAGCTAGATTACTTGAGAGTAATTTCATCAACAACACATCTATGGTTTTTGGATTATGTTTAAGGGTAAGTATTATAAGTTTCACAACTATGGTTATAACTTATAAAATGATAACATTAACTTTTTAGTTTGTTTAAAATTAAGAACCCTTTCTTTTCAGTCATTATTAGAGCATCAGAAGAACCCAAAGAAGCCTTTTCACAAGCACTTTCAAAATTCAATGGTAATGCTTTAATGTTTAAGCACATGTTGTTTATATGTTTTTACAGCTTCAATTCAATTCTTTGTATTGAGTTTATAACTTATAACACAAACATTCTCCTTCATTGTTGACAGTTGACTAAATACTTGCGTGATTTTTTGGAAGGAAAGAAGAGAATGTCATTGGTATATACAAATTTTTATGTAAAATTTATGTTTTTATACCATTTTTTGGTCATAATCTGTTGACTAATTGACCATTTTGTGTAGATTTTAACTGCTAAATCAGGAGAAGAAGATTATCAAGATACATCATATATGTTGAGACAAGCTTCACCTTTTATGAATATCAAGTATGACAAGTGTAAAATATTTTGTGTATATTTATCATTTTTGAGCACTTAAAGATATTAATTTATGGTTTTTTTGTTTTAGGTTTGAGAATATTGAAGAACAACCTACCAATGCATTTGGCAATAAAAAACGAACCCAAACATTGCCAAAAATAGAACAATCTAAAAGAATGAAGTTCAATACTAATGAAGTTTTTATGGTATTTTTCTTACTCTAATCTTTATTCTTTCAACATCTTCTTCTTCTTCTTCTTCTTCTTCTTCTAATGAAAGAATCAAATTTTGCCACATGACATCTCTTCCAAATCCAATCCTCCTCTATGAAAGTTAAATTACCATTTTGCTCTTCATCCTTATTAATATAAGAGTAAATTACACGAATGGTCCCTATGGTTTGGGATAATTTGCACGTTTGGTCTCTAACTTATTTTTTTTTAACTCGGAAGATCCCTACTGTTTATTTTTGTTGCGCACTTGGTCCCTGTCTTACCTAAAAAGACTATTTTGCCCTTGATTTTTTAATTTATTTAAATAAGGTGAGCTAGGTAAGGTAAGGTGAGGTGGATGTGGGGTTGGGGTGTGTTTATTTAAATAAATTAAAAAATCAAGGGCAAAATAGTCTTTTTAAGTAAGACAGGGACCAAGTGCACAACAAAAATAAACAGTAGGGACCTTCCGAGTTAAAAAAACAAGTTAGGGACCAAATGTGTAAATTACCCCAAACCATAGGGACCATTCGTGTAATTTACTCTTAATATAAATCCTATAATTTAACAATAACTCAGGAACACCCAAACTTCCTTTAGTTTCGTAATCTTAATTTTGGAAATCGATTCAAATTTTGAAATGCCTAAATCTCTCATCAGATGACAAAAATTTCATTTTCATGATTGATTGTGTTCTTTTTTTTTTTCATTTTGTTCAAATTTATATTGCATTATACAAACTCATGATTTTATCAAATATCGACACATACAGAACATAGATCGGTATTCATAACAATGTATATATTAATTAATTTTAACTAATCATTATAAACTTACAAACAAAACTTCTATCTTTGTAAATTAATAAATTTTTACAAATCTTTGATTAGTCTTAAGTATATATACGTATATGTATATCTATAATTGTTTATAACTTTTGTATTGTTTACTTTAATCTTTCAGGATAATGAGTTGAAGGGTGACATTCTTCATCAGATTCTCAAAGAAGGTTAAACAAAAACTATATTTTATTATTTTTTTTATTTCTTTTAGGGCTTTGAGCATAATTCTTTACAGTTTTAAAGACTGTTTTACTTGTTTTGGACAGAGTTGACTCCGGAAAAAGTCAAAGAGGTTGATGAAATTAAAGATTCATCAGCTGAGACTCCATGCAACAACATCAATAAAGAAGTAAACAAGAACAAATCTCTTGAAACAAATACTAAAGATTCTGTAAAGACATTTAGAGAAAATCATATTCTTCTAAATTTCTCTAGAGCTTTGTGGAATGTTCTTAAAGAGTATAAGAACAAACTAGAGGTAAGTTTGAAGTGAGAAATTTAGTACCTTTTTATTGTCTTTTTTACTCAAATTTTGTAATATTCTAAAATTAGGGTTAATCTCATAAAAGACCTTATATTTTGTGTTTTTTCCGGATTAAATCTCAAACTTTATTTTTTTTCTTAAAAAAAGACCTTGCATTTTTTTAGGGTTTTTTCGGAAAAAAATAAAAAAGTAGATGGTTTTTCCGGAAACAATTAGAAAGTTAAGGGTTTTTTTGGAAAAAAAAGTTCAAGGTCTTTTAAAAAAATTTAAAGCTGAGGTTTAATCCGGAAAAAAACACAAGGGTTAATTTCATAATGGTGATGTTTAATCTAAAAAAACCCTCAACTTTGTATTTTTTTCCGAAAAAAACCCTCAAGTTTTTTAGTTTTTCTCGAAAAATTTCTCACATTTTACTATTTTTTTTGTGGAAAAAAATGACTTAAAGGGCTAAATCGGAAAAAAATGAAATCTTTTTTAGTAAAAACATAATTTGAGATTTAATCCAGAAAAAAAACACAAAATATAAGGTCTTTTATCGATTTTTTTTTACTGAAATTTTGTAAAATTCTAAATTATTTATGACATTTACATTTTACAGGCTAGTGAATATGAAGTTAACTCCTTAAGACATAGTCTGAGTGTTGAAAAAGAAAGGATTAATGCATTGGAGACTGAATTGAATCTCATTAAATATAGAAGAGAAACAATAACTGATGTTCTTGTGGTTGAAGAGAATGAGTCAAAAGCCACGTCAGCAAACAGCTCACATGTTCATGAGGTATGTTACTTGCAAAATAACATATTTTTCCTTCTTTTAATGAAGTTGAAAATACATAGTATGCTTTCATTTAGAATTCTCTCTCTCTCTCTCTCATTATGTCATGTATGGATAAGTGTGTCTGAAAAAAGTGTTGTATACATAAATATGTTTCTTTTTTAGACTGAATAATAAACTGTATGAATGTGACTAAATGACCGTTTTACCCTTACATTAAAAAAAATCAAATTTCATAATTTTGTCATTTTTAATGTGAGGGGAGTTGCAAAGAAAAAAGAAGGGTAAATAGGTAATTAGGTAAAAGATTAGTGTGTTCATATTTAAGTGGTTTACACATTTAGTCCTTTAAGAAAAAAAGAACAACCCTTTAGTTTCCTTGTCATGCAACCACATAATTGTTTTAATGTATTTAATGCTTTTCTATCAGTTATCAACTTTTCCTTTGTATGTTTTTCTAAGATGAAGGTTATTTTGGTAATTATCAGGGTACAAGTTCTGTTGAAGATGTTTCAACATCCATAAGTGATGAAAGTTTTCAAGAACCGAGTAAGGAGGTATGATGTTTGTTATACATGTGGTTTAAATACTATATAAAGTTTATAATTTGACTTCCAAAACTGATAAGTTTACTATTATGTTGATTAGAAAGACGATATTGCCCCTCATGAATACGTTGTGTTTGATAAAGAAGATTTAAAGGAACTTAAAGACAAAGATTTCAGCACTGAAATAGGTTGTGATAATTTAGAGTCAACTGTTCACAATTCAGAGTTACTTATAACACAAGAACATGAAAAAGAAGAGGTTAGTTTTTATATTTTATAATTCCATTATTAATTATTATTATTATTATTATCCTCTCTATTTTGAATTTTTTTTAATGTTTGATCAGGGAATAACCTCTGTTGAAGCCACATCAGCTGCCAGCTGTCCTGAAACATTTGATAATTTATCGCCAGCTGGCGCTGAGTCAGACTCAGAGCTGACTTGTGTACATGAAGATGAAGTTTTATCTTCCCCTTTAGAGCAACTAAAACAGGAACAAAATGAGGTTAGTTTGGTAATTTGTAGTTTCCTAATGGAGACATTTAATTTTTAGTCTTTATTTTTTGGGTTATTTTATAGTTTTATGATAAAATTTCATAATTGGTCCCTGTGGTTTGCAAAATATTGCACTTTGAGGATAACTATGAAAATTGTTATGCCACTGGTCCCTATGGTTTTGAAAATTGCATGAATGGTCCTTCTAGCGTTAACTTTAACTTTTGACTAGTTAGTTTTTTCTAAATGACCAAAATGCCCTTGGACCAAATCTGAAAATTATGTATACCTCAAGAACCAAAACGTTACACCACTGGTCCCTATGGTTTTGAAAATTGCATGAATGGTCCTTCTAGTGTTAACTTTAACTTTTGACTAGTTAGTTTTTTCTAAATGACCAAAATGCCCTTGGACCAAATCTGAAAATTGTGTATACCTCAAGGATCAATTTTGAAAATTTGAAATTTTGTATATATATAAATTAGTCAAAAGTTAAAAGTTAATGCCAGAAGGATCATTCATGCAGTTTTCGAAACCATAGGGACCAGTGGTGTGACGTTTTTCATAGTTGTCCTCAAAGTGCAATATTTTGCAAACTACAGGGACCAATTATGAAAATTTGTCTTGTATTATTATGCTTTCCATGAATTGAAATTAATTTTATGTTTAATCAGGGAATAAACTCTGTTGAAGTTATATCAGTATCCATTGTTCCTGAAACATCTGAAGATCAATGCAACGAGGTATATTTAATTAATTAATATAATTTTGTTATTGAATAAAAGATTTTAGTTAATTAGTTATAATTGGTTATTTTGATCACATTGAGAAACTTGCTTTTTTTTTTTAATCAGAAAATTGACGTCTTAAATACAAATATTGTTCTTGATGAACAAGAGTTCAAGGAAGTTGAGGAAAGAGAATCTAATGGAGAAATAGCAGGTTACATATCTAAGATTCTTTATTTATTTATTTATTTATTATTTTTTATGTACATATAAAAAGATCTGTGATATGTGATAAGTTTTTAATTAAAAAAACAATAGTTTTTGTTAAATAAAAAAGTTAGTGGAAAGCTGATGTGGCACACTGTAACTTTTCCCTGAATCATAGGTTGTGATACTGCAGCGCCAGCTGGCGCTGAGTCAGCATTTTCTTGTGTACTTGAAGATGAAGTTTCTTCTTCTCCTTTGAAGGAAAACCAACCAAAACAGGAACAAAAAGAGGTATATATATTCTGGTTTCATTACTTTAAATAAATTTGATATAAAAGAGCATTATATTTATTAAAAAGTTGCACATAACAAATTAAATTAAGATTTTTTTTTTCATTACGTTGATCAGAAATTCGATGTCTCCAATACAAATCTTTCTCTTGATAAACAAGAATTCAAAGAAAATGAAGAAAAAGAGACCAATGGAGAAATAACAGGTTAGAATTCTATGATTTATTTATTATATCATTTTACTTTAATTTCTTTATGTTATAACATATTAGCATGTTGTGAATTGTGATGTTTTTTTTTTTTTTTTTTTTGTACATGGAGATGAAGTGTCTTCTTCCCCTTTAAAGGAAGACCAAACTAAACAGGAGGAAAAACAAAAACAAAAAGAAAAAGAAAAACAGGTTTTTTTTTTTTTTTTTTTTTTTTTTTTAAATAGCATCTTATTTTCATTTTATTTGTGTTAATGTTTTCCACACATATTAAGCAGAAATGTGTGATTTTAACTTGAAGCTAAAATAAAGAAACTGGAAGTTAAATTAAGGGTAAATTATGCGAATGGTCCCTATAGTTTGGGGTAATTTGCACGCTTGGTCCCTAACTTATTTTTTTAACTTGGAAGGTCTTTATTGTTTGTTTTTGTTACGCGCTTTGTCTTACCTAAAAAGACTATTATTTAAATAAGGAAAAATGGTGGGGTAGGTAAGGTAAGATGAAGGAGGTGGGGTTGGGGGTGTGTTTATTTATATAAATTAAAAAATCAAGGGAAAAATAGTCTTTTTAGGTAAGACAGGGACCAAGTGTGTAATAAAAACAAACAATAAGGACCTTCCGAGTTAAAAAAATAAGTTAGGGACCAAATGCGCAAATTACCCTAAACCATAGGGACCATTCGTGTAATTTACTCTTAAATTAATAATGTTTTTGGTGTGTAACAGTCTTTAATTTGGGTCTGCTTAATGTGCATGGAAAACATTTTCAAGATTTTCTTCGATCCATGATATGAAAAACCAACAATTGGTAATCATACTTTGGACAATTTTCAGTTAATAATATTTTTAGTCCTGTATAAAAATCCAAAGAAGAAGTCTTTAAAACTATTTTGCACATTATAAATTATAATCTGTGTTTTATTTCTATAATAATATGATTATTACTGGTTATTTATAATTATAGGACATTCCAAATTTGGTGTGCTGTGAAGATGTAAATGAGAAGAGTAATTTGCAAGAGGCATCAAATATTCAATCCAGTGCTGTGAAGCCAAAAAGGTATGTTTATTCATTTATTCATTATTATTATTGTTATAGGATTATACTTTTTATTTCTTCTTATTATAACATTGTCTTTGAAAAGTCTACAACGTTACACAAACATATACATACGCCTGATTTATTTTTCTTAATTTAATAGGAGGCTTAGACCTGTTTCTTCTGTGATGCTAAGGAATATAAACATCTTGGATTCTGTAGATGCCACTGAGATGCCAAAGGTTAACATTATTTTTATTTTTATTTTATTTGAATTCTTAAAAAAACAATAAGTCAATAATGTGTTTAATAATGTGTATGTAGCATGGAAAAAGAGGAGTGGAAAAAGATGTGGAAAAAAGAACACAAGGTAGCATTTCACTTATGCGACTCCTGAAACAAAATCTCCATCACTAGAAACTACGAAAAAAAAATATACTTGACAATTTGACATAGTTGTATATGGTGGAACTTTTTTCGGATATTATAAAAAACTAACTTTTTTGTAGTATGTTTCTTGAGAAAATTTTAATCAGAAACGTAGTATTACTTCATTACTTAATTATTACTATATAATTTGAGCTTTTGGAACATTGATGTTTCTACTGACTTATTTGAAAGCCTGTTTATTTATGTCGTTGAATGAGTCAATTGAGGGTCACAAAATTTGAGGTCAAGACTAAAGATTAAAAGACACTAAGCTTTATTGCAAATATATTATTTTTTGTTATGTTTTAGTATTGTATATAGAGTTTTGAACTCAAGACCAAAGATTAAAAGACAATTAAGCATAAATTGCTTGTAATAACTAACAAGTTATTACTTTTTTGTGATTGAACTAGCAACCGAAACATACTAATCGGGGACAAATATATCTGTGAAAAATTTCAACAAATATATAAGGTTGCAAGCTTTTTTTATTACTTATACACAACATATTTGAATTTTGTGATTGAATAAGTAAACATTCTTTGGTTGTGTAAAATGAATATGCTAGAAAATTTTGGTTGCTCTTACATTCGATTTACTTTTATTTCATCACAGATTAGGGATAAGAGATTTTTTTTAATGATATAATGCTTAAGTTTGTTTATTCTCATTGAGTGTTATTTGCAGTCCTTAAAAATGATAGTTGCGAAGCTTATTTATATAAAGAATTGGTGAAGGATTATGAAGTCGCCAATACATAAAACTATCTCGACAACCCAGCGACAAATTACGTTATATTTCCATAACGTCAGTTGCACATTAGTTTTTTTGCTCCTCTCTTCTCTTTTCCAAATCCTAAACTTCCAAAATCACATGAAATAGTCATCTTTCCCTTCTCATATTTCCCACAGCCATTTTTACATAAAATAATTAAAGTTAATAAGAAGTGAATTAAACAATATAAAATATTAAAGTCAATTAACTATACATTGAAGGTACCATTTCGAATGATCTTTAACAATTCTCTATGGCGCCTCTTGAGAAACTCTTTAGCATAAAGGTTTCTATATTCAATGTGTGTCTCCTTAATTATTTCGGCTGACTTTTAGGCGACCATTACAACGTTTGACTTGGTATATGTTGAGTTTTATTCAAAAATGGGCTAATTATAGTGTCAAAACTACGTGATTAACAACGAAAGCATTTTAAGATTTGAATAAATTGAAAACCATTTTAATCCACCAATGATCATTTTGTAAAGCAGAGAAAGATTAAATTAACCATTTGAAGGAAAAAGTATTATAACATTTGAAGACTTAGATTCTCATGGGAGATTGAAAATTGATGAAGCTGACAAGAAGCTCCAAAGTAGAAGTTCTCTAGAGGTATCTACCAAACAAAAGTAAACCACTAAAACATGTTAGTCTTCACTTGTATATAAGTTGTTCTTAAGCCTCAAGACATATACCAAATAAGTCTTAAGGAGAAACAACTTATAAGCCTTTAACTCATGAATTAAATTGCAAGACAAAGAGAAGGCTTATAAGTTGTTTCTCCTTAAGACTTATTTGGTATATGACTATTTTGCCCAAGTGAGGATTTAGAGGGGCAAAATTGTCTCAGCAAGTCCAAATACCAAGATAAATCCTCACTTGGGCAAAAGACAATTTTGCCCCTCTAAATCCTCAACCCCTTACAGTTGACCAAAAGTTAAACTGGTCTAAAAGTCAACGGTCTACCTTTCATTGAATTACGTGCGGTGTACGTCTTATAGGGTGTAGAGTTTTATTCAGAGAACGGGCAAGAATCAGGCTACGCTGTGCGTAGCCCAGATTATGGACGTCGTACCTTTGCCAAACTTCATTTTAAGCACTTAATACATTAAGACATTTCACTCCAAGCTCAGATCTGGATCCTAATAGCTCCATAATGGATAAAGTTTCCAACTTTATCCATTAGGATGATCCAAACAACCAAGATCTAGTCTTTAAGTCTTAAAAGGACCAAAAATGCATCTTTCTCGACTTAATCCGTTAAGTCCACGCCTCCAACCTTCAAATCTGAATCAATATGATGTTTAGATGGATAAAGTTTCCAACTTTATCCATATTAAGGCCACAAACTATCAAGATCTAAACTTTTTATACTAATATGAAGAAAAAGTGGCAAATATGACAAATAACTAGATCTATGAAACCAATGAGCATGTTAAAAGCTTTTTACTCACAACGGTCCAACAATAATGTACTCTTGCTAGATCTATACTTGAACTCTTCTTTTATACACTTTGCCACCACCTTGCTCTTCAAGATTCAACCTTCTAATGAAGAAATAAGCTCATAAATGATGCCAAAGCTAAAAAACAAATAAGAGGAGGCTATGGTTTCTCAAGGAATGATCTTAGGTGATAGAGGCTGGTAATGAGAGGGTTCCCCATAAGTTAGAGCCCTTAAATAGGGCTCAAAACCGAAGATTTAAGGTTTTGATCTGCCCAGATTATGCCCTGCGTAATTCATTAAACTCGCGTTACGCCCTGCGTAACTTTTAGTTATGCCATGCATAATTCAAAAGTTCCCAATTTCCACTTCAACTTCATACAACCATAACTTCTTCGTTTGAACTCCGTTTTCGACGTTATTTATATGCACGAAAAAGTATTGAAGAGCCCCACAATCCTATCTAATTGCTTTTGACTTAAAACATACCGAAATAAAATTCTTAATTCATGAAAGAAGTTCGAAACATCACTTTTCCCATTTTACCCCTTTAACCCCAAAACACAAACTAAAAGCTTGTATCACATAACCAATATTATCCACATCCAATAGGGTCTAAACCCTATTCCCTTGAAGTCCAAGGCCTTTACTTGATCCATTTACGACCCGCTATCCCGATAATAGAAACATTCTGAAACTAGGTGTTAGACTCTCGTTCTCCTGATCTCAAACTCAAACCGAGTAATTTCATCAAACTCCCGGTTAATCCCAAAATTGAAATTAGTTATGGAAATGTCATTGGATCTACAAATGGCTGAATATGTTTTAATTATGGACCATGTTCTTTGCCATCCGGTGATTATGCAATTTATGTTTGGAATCCTTCTTTATCGACGGTATTAACTCTCCCGCCATGTCCTTTGCCCTCGAGTGATTCTCAGACAAAAACCAATTTTCGGTTTGGGTATGATCCCAAAATTGATGATTACAAAGTTGTTAAGCTTACAAGCCTTGTACCACAAGTTGCGGTCTATAGCATGAGAAAGGGTTCCTAAGACTTAATTACTTAAAGATTTCCGTTGCACATGAGACTAATTATGTGTACAACCGAAGTTTGTGTAGATGGCCGTGACGGCCGATTTCATTGGCTTTGTTATACTTATTTGAGGTGGAAGCAAGAAATGATAGTGGCATTTGATTTGGGTGCAGAGACATTCAGTGAGATACCTCTTCCAGATTTCTATACAACAATACCATCGGCACTGCTGGAATGTATTAAGAGTTTTAATTGGAACACTTTGTGTGATGTCAAGGGTTAGAGATGGTGATGACTGTGAGATGTGGGTGATGGATGATTATGGGGTGGATGAATCATTGGTCAAACGTCATGCATTTTCCAAGTTTGATGTTGGTGCTATTAATATATATCCATATGGATTCACATTACACAATGAATTCCTTTTTCAAGTCTACATTAATCATTTTATTTTGTATGATCCAATTGCATCTAAGCCTAAAAACTTTGAAAATCCGTGTCCTCTAAATAACGTAGGTAAAATTGTGCAGTATGTTGATAGTCTTGTAACATCTCTCAATTTCCATTTTGAAGATGCTTCATATCAATGGGATGGTGGATGGTCAAAAGGCAACACATCAGATCTACTTCTTCCCTTTTTGTTATATCTACTCTGTATGATTCTATGTTTCTTGATTAGTTTCCTGTGCCAACTATCAATTTTTAATGGATTACATCTACACCCTCTCTTGTTGGCAGGGTACGTTTTAACATTGGACATGTTGGATCATTTTCAAATTCAGTAGGTTGTTTTTTTATGGTTTGTTTCTATTACTCTTTCCAAAAAGCATTGAACTAATGTCTTGCGTTATTGCTATTCAAGGAATATGTTTCCATTTCCTTGATTTAATTTTAGTTGGCTCAAGTCTAATGAGAGATATATTAGTTTATTGTTTAGTGACGAGTTTAATGTGAATCTATTGATCTTGGTTAAACACTAGCTTAGATGATAAAAACATATATTTAAAAAAAACTGCCCCTTTTTTGCAAATAAATTCATAGTTTACCAACATATACATAATGGGCGACGAGTATTGGAAGAGCTTAAAGGCTAATTAACCATGTTTAATATGGTACAGCTGATCAGTTTGGGCACCACATATGGCATGCATCGTGCCCAATTAATGAAGATTGACTTTGAATATGCATCACTTTCGAGTATTACTGTATTTGGCAAAAGGGGGCTATGGTCACTTTTAAATATGTTTTTGCTAAAATGGAGTTGTGGGCATCTGTCACCATCTTTAAACTTATTTTCGAAAAATAATTTTCTTTTACTAAGACGCGTATCAATAAATCTAAATATATAAAAAGGAAAGAGATCTCTCCCTCCTTAAAAATCCAAAACAGAAAAACACTCTGATATCTCGTGCTTGAATGACGAATAACTTGTTTCAAAAGATCGGGCAACTGAAACTTGGTCCACCATAATCCTTTGATACTCGAAAGTGGCTTCACCACAGCAGCAAGCGACCATGGATGACCTCCCAGGAGATGTTTTATCAGAAATATTCGTCCGTTTATTAGCAAAACAGCTTGCTCAAATGAGGTGTGTCTCTAAATCTTGGAATGCTCTCTTATCACAAACCTCTTTCATAAAATGTCACCTGCATCGTTCCATCCATAACAACAATAAAATTCTATTGGTGTTCTTGGATGAAGAATTTTCTTTTGAGGATAGATTATTCACAGCACATTCCACTCGTTCTCCCCATCTCGAACTCACTAATTTCATCAAACTCCCGATATATCCCGAGAGAAGAT